CCAGCTACTTGGAAGGCTGAGGTGGAAGGATCACCTGAGTCCAGCAGGTTGAGGCTACGGTGGCCAGGAGCATGCCACTGCACTCTAGCCTAAGCAACAGACTGAAACTCCTACTCAAAAAAATAAATAAATAAAAATAACTAGAGAAAAAAATAAGTAAATAAATAAATAATAAAATAAGGATTATTAAAAAATCAGATTGCACACACAATTCCAGGGTTCTGTCTACTTTAAAAAAAAAATCTCAGAATATAGCAATACTGCACCCAGAGCCCTTCCAGGCACCTCCCAGCTGCAGGTGAATACACAGCCAGTCCCTCACAGTCCCCAGCACCCTTCACTCATTCACATCATCTCCTGACCCCTGCAGGAACCTGTCTGTGAATGGGGGTCGTCAGGGCCCTATGGGAAGGAGCCAGCAAAGAAAAATGGAAGGTTGGCCGGAAACACTTTTCTGGGTGGAGGTGGTTGCAGAAAGCGGTGCTCACAGTGAGCCCTAGACCACATGTCAATTTCTCGTGGGTTCAGTGCCAAGAACAAGCAAAGAAAGCAGCAGAAGCAAGCACACGTACCCTTGCTGCATAAACCTTTCAACATCTTCTCCAGGATTCCTGCCTCCGATCCAAAGAATCTGGCTGAAACAAGAAACGGAACTTTGAGCGAGTCGGCCAAAACAGCAGCCCACAGGTAATAGGGGCACTGTGTCCAATTTACCTGAACTGAGGGAAGTGCTTTGTGAAATGCGACAGGACCTCGTCTATCTGAATGGCCAGCTCTCGAGTGGGGGTGATGATGATGGCACCAACCTGCCCACGTGGGGGGAAGAGACGTGATCAGTAGTGCCAGGGACTCCCAGAGCTGAACACACAAGCCCTGCCCCCTGCACCTCACAAAGGTCCCAGACAAATGGCACTTCTGGGACACTCTCAGAGGTATCTGGTCCCAGCACCCCTCAACTACTTTGAATCATGATCCCCTGTCATTATTCACTGCTGTGATGCTCTACAAAGTCACTGCAAACCTGAATTAGCAAACATGAAACCATTATTCCTAGGGGAAGTACAGGGGTTAGGTTCCTGTAAGCCTCTGGACACAACATTTTTGTCAGCTAATCAATACATAACCTTACTTGATGTATGTTTGTGTTTAACTTACACTGTTGATTCATTCACATGAACTCACAGCCAACAGCTCTAAAATCTGTGCTTATCTAACATATATTTTCTCTGCACACCATAACCTCCTTGCATTCAGGAACACTAGACTGACTCTTAGCTCTACACTATGGGGCCATTTAAACAGCAAAGTCACCAAGGAAAAGCACACAAGTGTGAAAGACACAGCAGTATAAATAGACCATGAAAGAGACTTGTTTACAGTTTGAGAGCTCAGATGAAAAATAGCCAGGCCCATGGCTATGCATGAACACAGAAGCACCTCAGCATTGATGTGGGGGTATGAATTTTAAAGAGCAGGCAGGCACATTAGCAAACACAGAATCCACAAATAACAAGGATGCACCCGCTTTTATTTTTTCAAGTTTTTAACCAGCTTCTTACCAACTGTGAGCTCTCTGATGACTAAGTGAAGATCACTTTTGCTATCCTCACCTGTCTCTTTTTTAACTTCTCTTCCCTCCTCAGAAGAATTTCCAGGATGGGGATGACAAAAGCGAGTGTTTTGCCACTACCTGTGACCTGCAAAGGAGAGGAAGCTTTGGGTTGCTTCTGTCCTCACAGCTTATCTGAGGGGAAACAGGACAGGCTGCATGGACACGAGGTACTCACCGCTTCTGCAGCGACATCTTTGTTTCTCATGAACAGAGGGATGGTTGCGGACTAAGGAGAAAGATTGCAAAGCACTGGTTAGAGACTGCCATGAATTCACAGGGGAGACCCAAGGCCCCAGGAACATATTGAGCTAAGGTCACAGTGGACCCCCAACAAATCAAGGCACCACAAAGGAGTCGAATGAAACATGGCAACGGTGTCTACACAGGGGGAACGGAGAGCTGAGCTGGGGCCAGAGTCCTGAATCCCAGTCCTGTAGCTCCCACCTTTCCTCTCTGGACCAGGAAGGGCTTGAGGATGTTGCATGGTAGGTCCCTTCCAGCTCCACCACCACAGGATGAGGACGCCAACACACCCTCTGATGGGAGGCACCTGGAAGCCCTCCAGATTTTACTGACCCCAGGGTTCCAGCAACCCCTGGGGCTACACTGGAAGTGGATTCAAATCCTGGCCTGGAGGTCATTCAAATGAGCCTGAGCTCACTCGTCTTGCAGCTGGTGCCTCTTCCCAAGTGGTTCTCGGTGATTTCTCCCCCCTCCTCCAACCCCCAGGAAACACTTCGCAATGTCTGGGGACATTTTTGGTTATCAAACCCCAGGGTGGGGGGGTGCTGTCATCTGGTGAGTAGATCACAGGGATATTGCAAAACGCCCTATAATGCCCAGGACAGCCTCAAATGCCAATAGTGCCAAGGTTGACAGCCCTGCTGTCCAAGAGAAATACAATGTGAACCAAAATGTGATTTAAAATTTTCTAGTAGCCACAATAAGAAAAGTAAAACAAAACATAAGAAAATTGTTTTAATTATATGTAACTTAAAAATATAAATTATGCCGGGCTCGATGGTTCAGCCTGTAATCCCACGCCTTTGGGAGGCTGAGGTGAGTGGATTGCCTGAGTCCGCGGGTTCGAGAC